AGCAGCAGGTGAGTGGTCCAAGAATGCAATCTTCTGCTGACATCCCAAATACAGCAATCACAAGAAGCAGTAATGCTAAAATACTTAAAGCTTACCTACGCGTTTCCCGGACAAAGTAAAGTAACATTTAAAGTAACGTTCTGAAAACCATCATGCTCACTGCCCTTACTTAGGGGCTTTCATACTAGAACATGCAATAAGCATCTGCTTTTTTGCCAACAATGCAACAGCCAGACTTTTTAGAACAAAACAGTTCAAATGGCATTATTTAACACAAGTTTTTTTTTTTTTTTTTAAACAATGTGAGCATAGGAACAATTGATGCTGTTAAGCATCTGTGTCGTGCACCTGATGGTAGATGAAGAACAGTTACAGAAGAGTGAGATATTTAAAGGAATCACTTAACTACCCCCTAAAAGCTAACACAACAACAGCAGTAGTAATTAAGGTTTTGAACACAGCCACAGAAACTATACAGCCTTCATGACAGTCATCATACAGCCATATGATAAATATCATGGAGCCTAACATCTACAAAGACATAAGAATTTAAAATAAACATCGCTCTACACAAGACATTCTTATATAGTATGACAGCTAATATACTTGAGTAGAATAATTAGCTGAACCAACTGGCCGAAGACTGAAATCCGTACTCAGCATTAGCAATTAGACAAGGGGAAAGACTCTTCCCAGCGCCACGGACAGGAACGAGAACGGCAGTGGAGCGCTCTCGGGAGTTCTGCGATGGCTATCCCCTCCTCGCATGTGCATGCAGCGGTAGGTCCTCCCACGTAAACCAACCCACAAGGACAGATTCAGCACTGACTGGGTCTTAGGACATGCTAATGCTCTCTTGCCTCCATCCCCACTAGGGCTAACGAAGCCTTTTCAATAGCAGTGAGGGGCAGAATCATTTTGGGGCCACTAACTAGAGCCCTGAAGTAGGATACTTTAAAAAAAAAAAAAGCTGACAGATAGCTTCCCTATACTGCTATAGTCTCTTCTTTGCTGAACAGCACGTACTTCAAAAAACATTGGAAAAATGGGGTTAACGTTTTGCATAGGCACTTCAATCATTAACTGGCTCACATTAACAATCAACTAGGCTAACATAACAAACAATTCTTGTTACTCAAACTGGCGTCATTGTAATGAGCTCCAAATTAATCTCATCCGTACACAATCACTAATCTTGTTTTGTGCCAACTGAATTTTTAATCAGAACAGAGTGAATCACAGGTTGTTTTTAAAATACATTTCTAATACTTGTCATCCAAAATGAATAAACACTACAGAGGAGAAGAACTTTTCTATTTACATTCTAAGAAGCTGATTTTATTTATGCATACTATACACACAAGTATCAAATGCATACTATAGCTGGAGATATTTTTAATGAAAATAAAAAAATACATACGTTTAGTAATGCTTTGAGCGTGAATAAAGTCATGCATCCAATAATTTTGCCCCTTTAGTATAATTACAACAGTATGACAAACCAAAATAAAAGGAAGAGTTGCACCTCTGAGATATAATACCAACCTTAACATGATTCTAAAAAAATCAGGATGCACACGTTCATAACACAGCATGACCAACAGAGCAGCTACTTCTACGGTGCCCCTAATGAAATATGTATTTTGTAGTGCTGAAGCGAGACTCAACTAGAGTTTCAAATTGATTTTGCCATTTCTGCAAGATACAGAAGCAAAGCTGAGTTTCAACAAGCATTTTGACTCGATTCTGTAATTCTAATGCCAATTTAACAAATCAGTTGATTAGCTGCTAATATATAAGGACAGGAACGCTCAAGACATCATCACATTGCTAAAAAAAACAGTCCAACTATTTAGGCATTCTTTGAAAAAAATCATAATACAAAGTCTTCACCTTACAGCATCTACTTTTTAAAATGCATTATTTCAGGAATCTTGTTTTAGTTGCCTAGCTGCTTAACACTTGTTACAGCATTTAGATAAAACTTAACTTCAAGGTGAGCCTATAGTTATGGAAATTGAATGAATAACTGCAGTTATCTGCGGTGCAGCCATTCAAATTTCTTTTGGGAAGTCTAGTGATAGCCTATATTAGAGCCACACAAGCTAGAATACCTGGTTCTGATTTTTAATCTAAACATAACGCCTAACTCAAGTCATATAACAACATGTAATGACTTCTGCTTGAAAAACAAGACATTCAGGCAGCTGAGAACATGAAACAAGGCTTAATGTCAGAATTCCCACAGATTCAGTTGCATTGACTATTTGCTTAGAGACTCCTTGGACAGCACTCCTACTTTAATACATTCTACATGCTTTAATGAATTGTAGATTCAGTTATGATTGCCAGCAACTACAACATCAGAAGCATATGAAGATTGCTCAAGATTAAGAGCGTTACGTCCAATGTGCTAATCAATTTTTACTTATAGTTAGTAGAAAATATGTTAACATATTAAAAATTCTACTAATATCTTAGAATTCAATTAAAATTATCTTCATTAAACAGCTAGGAGATCTGTGGAGAAAAGGAGTTCTTCAAATACATATGTAATAAGAAAATTATTGCTAATGTAACATTCTAGTGAAAACAAGTTTGCAAGCCATGTTGAACATGAAAAGGCAAGTGCAGAAGTGAAAATACAACACCACAGCTGCAAAGAGGAGATAACAGGCTCTGATAACATCAGGAGAGACTGCAGCAGAAAGACAAAGGACCTTATCAAAAAGGTTACATTTACATAGTGAATATTATACCAAGGCATAATTACCAAAGGAGAGCTGTTTAGTTGAAAAAAAATGTTTGTGTTGTTTTAAATTAAAATAGCCTCGTTAGTATCTTATTAAGCACCAAGGGGCAAATGACTCTTCCATTTGATTTCCAGTGAAGAGGACAGGATGCTGTGCTGTGCTTGAGTGATGACAGAAGAAAGCACTGCGAACGAACAATGTCAGAATGAAAGAAAACCAAGGCTGTTTTAATCCTTACAGGTTTCCCAGTGGATCACTAATAATAGGCCCTCTCTTCCTATGAGAAATTTGGCACTGCATCACACTTAGCACTCTTCTTCGTATGAATGGAATTTCTGCAAGATCCCCAAACTTCTCGCTGAGCAATTGGTCGCTCCTCTGCTATTTGTTATTCATTTCAGCGCATTAAAAAGGTGCTCCTCTTCACTTCAGAACTGCAGAAACAGGTGCTACTACAAATATTTCTCAGGAAGTTGTAACATTGCGAAATAATGAAGTAGAAAAAGGGGGAAATAGGAGAACACGTAAATTACAGATGGTGACAACAATTTTAGACTTGTCACATGAAGTAAAACTTTTTCTATAAACGAGTCAAACAAGATAGCCATTCGGCAGCGCCACGACAAAAGGCAAAGCGCATCTGCTGTTCAGCAACATGCCTCAGGTAGAAAGATGAAAAAGCAGAGGTACAAGGCTTTCCAAAGGAATTTGCAAAGTTAACAGAAAAGCGATCAGAGGAAGCAAGAAAATAAGATATTCACTTCATAAAAATTGTTAGGTATGCCACAAAATAATTATTAAAAATAATTTAGACAATGCAATTTCTCAATATTACTTGGTATCAAGAGAGTAAATCTAAAATCAGAAACAGCACATCTATCGCTTCTTGTGTCAAGCACTACGTTCGTTCCACAGCGACTGCTTCGTGCTCCTCCATCACGACACCTGTAGCTCAGAGAAGGCAGTACAGACTGACAGACAGTCTCTGACTGACTTTGGGGACTCACACGCCCCACGCAATCGCTCAGCTGCACTAGGCATACGCTCACGTGCTCTACACCAGGAGAAGCCCACTTAAAAGACACTTCCCAGCTGTATGTTTGTGCCAGTGACCCCCACACACCCTTGCAGACAGTTTAAAATGCAGTTACTTTTCCCACCTGCCGTACAAAGTTACACATGCCAATTTTTCAATGTGTCAATTGCTTTTTTGATCAACTTTCCAATAAAAGTCAAAACTTTTGTCAAAAAAATAGTAATGAAACGATGACCTGATCCGTGGGTCACGAAGCAGGAATTACAGTAAAGCTCTACTGCAAAGGTATACTTGTCTGAAACAGCCTCTAAACTCTATACCATAACCACGGGACACTGGCACTGGATGCTAATTAGAAGAAATACGCCCAAACCCTGTTGACACCTGATATCATTGTTGACCCAGAAAACAGGGCTGCAGGTCTGCAAAGGCAGGAGAAGAGAGCCCAAAGGCAGGAGAGAGCAACGAAGGAAAACACTTGGCGTATCAGAAATATCTTGATATGGCTTTAGTAGCTATTAGTAGCTTCTCAGAGGGAAGAAGCACTTTAAGCACATAACCGATGTTAGCTTCTTCAAACAAAGCTTTGCCTATTGAGGCTCATTTTGAGCAGCCAACACTATCTTTGGTTTCAGATTGTGGTGATTTCCCCATTAATGAAAGCGCGCAAAATTTTTTTTCTGATTAAGTCAATTTTTGCCACCCTCACCTTTTCAAAGTGCATTTCTTTGTCTTTATGGCACCACTCCCCCATATGACTAGATAACTTTTCTTGACAGAACGGTGCCAAAAAGAAACGCAAAACTGGGTTTCCCTTCCTCATGAAAAAACAAAATGGACACCACTACACAAAATCTCTTGACCTTTTCTGCAACTAAATGTTTTTTAAAGACACTACTGTTTAATATTACTTGCTGAAAAAAATGTATCTTTTAAAATGGTCAGATGCTTAATACTTTTTATAAAGAAACTCAGAATAGTTATTATAAAAGTCATCTTGTCTTAGTTAAAATATTAAAAAAAATAAATAAAACCACATTTAGAGATTCAACTTTAAATCACAAGTAGAAGACAACGTGTTTCTGCTTACATGACCATGAGATAACAATTTTCTTTAATCTGCATTGTTGGCAAATTCGTATTGCAGAAGCTGTTCTCAAAAGCCACATGTCTTTGTATGGTATAAGGTTCTCAAAGAGTGAAGTACTCACATGCAAGGCAGAAGGATCTGGCAAAAATTCAGCATCCTCTCCAAAGATAAAATCCGGTGGCAGGTCAGGATAGTGAGCATTGAAAATTATATCCCCTGAAAAGTAGTAAATAAAAACATTGTTTGCACCTTTATGTGTGTGTTTATAAATACATAAATATCGTATGTAAGAGCGTTCTTTAAATAATATATGTAATGTGCTTGTGTGTGTATATATATATAGACATGCACACACCCATATATAAAAAATCCTGATATCTGTACTAAATATATTTTATGTATATATCTACACAATTTTTACAAAAATTCACATGTAAGACAATCACTAGATATTTTAGAGGACGAAATTAACTTCTTGAGGCACTGCTTCTTCTTCCTCTGCAAGCATTGAAAACATGAAATATATTATTGCTTCAGATCTGAACTGGTAATTCAAACACTATTGAGGGTTGCCTCAAAATACCAAGTTAGAAAAGTGATCTCATGTTAAAAAAGCACCTCCTTTAGAGTGCTGTGCTTTGCTCATTAAGTAAAACTCAGATGTAAACTACCACCAAGATCAGCATTTTCAAAATATTGGAGTCTTAAAAATTAGTGACACTTACTCCCTCTTCTCCTCTGCACCCCCCAAAATTTAGAAGGAAGAAAAAGCAGTTCAACAGGAAACACTGCAATTATCTAAATTCTGACCAAGAGGAATACAGTATTCCGCATTTAAACTGAAAAATTAAAAAAGTAAAAATACAAAACTTCATCATAGCCTGACACTGAGTTCTCATCTTGCCAGTGTTACAAAATATACAATTACTTACTGAGGTGACAGTTCAAAAATATGGAGGTTGCATTATTTTACTAGTAAACATACTTCAGAACTAACATATGTCAAGAGGAAGCGAGAACGTGAGCTTTAAAAAACACCAGAGTCTGAATTTAAGCAAACCATATCTGGTATTACCTCTCTACCTCTGAATTGCTCTTTCTTCCTTATGAAGATATGAAAGAGTATCTCTAACCTTTTTCATAAAGTAGATTTGTTAGGCAGTAGACATAAGAAGAAAGAAGTCAGTATCTACTACGTATTACCACTCACTTATAAGTCTGCATGTAAAACTAAAACCAGCATGGTAAACATTAAAAAAAATTATGTTCAAGAAAGTAAAAATCATTTTGTTTTTCAAAATGACAAACGCAGAACTGGAGAAAAGTATAAGATTAACAAATCTTACACAGCCACATGCTCTAGCCAGTGATGCAACCATCTCAAGATATTCAACACGGCAATCTGTAATTGCTCTTAAAATTCTGTGTACCTCAGCTCTACTTGATGGCAAGGATGCTGTAAAGATTAATTTGCAGAGGGTGAGGGCTCAGGACCAAGAAGCCAATGGCTCTGGGGTAAGTATGCTCCACTGTACATGCCAAAAATCATGAACTCACTAATTATGCAACCTAGTAGAGCAGTGCGGTTTTCTCCTGTCTGCACGTCTCGTTCCTCCACAAACATCAGGAGCATGCCTAAGTATGGGGTGTGGGAAACTGTGGAGGTCCCGCAGCTGAAACACCCAACATAGCTGAAAAAAACTCAGGTTTTTTTTGGTTATTTAAAATAAGAAAACAGGCACCACTCTTACAGAAAATTACTTAAAATTATAACATGAAACGCACCTATGTTAAACAAGAGAAAATGAATACTAGACTGCCTGAACAGTAATTCAGCAGCGAAGAATCCAAAAAAGCTACTGTATGCTAGGCCGGGTATTTACCATGCTGCCACAACTCAATCCTTTTCTTCATGTTCACTACAATTACAAAGTCACACACTACTTGCAGCATCCCCATCACTTTCAATTTACAAAACAGACAATTCTTGGGGCTGTTGAAGAAGACAGCACCCTAATATACCCTCTTGACTGGGCTTTGCTTCATGGGTTAAGAGGTAAGTTATGAATAACTCAAGAAATAGCACAAAGAAAAAGCTAGACCTCTGACTTTGGTAGCTGGGAGAAAGGACTCTATCTGTGCTTTTGCCATGAAGTTCTTATGTTATGCTAAATAACTCATTTAACCCATACTTTTCATATTCAATCACTAATTGCATGCTCTTCGCTCTCTGGATGCCTGCTTTAAGAGAGCTGATAAAAGCACGCACAAGTACAACTCTGCTCACTAGGAGCAGCACTCCAACTACATGAATATTACAAAAGGCTGCACAGAATAAAAAAATAGGACCAAAAGGATCTATCACAAAATAAACGCATATTCTTATACAATACCTTCATATTCGGATTTGTGAAAAATTAATTATAATACAACCTTATACCATGAGCGGTTTTGCAAGACAGACATATCCACAGCAATGGGTAAACCTTAAGCAAGCCATCACAGCAGGTGCAGCAGGAAGGTTTAAGCCGGTACCAACTCTCTCTTTACACACCACCATACTGTTGTTCTTTTTTAACGAAATCAGAAACATAGCATTTAATAAATCATTAATACCATCCTTCCTATAACATCATATTTAGCTCATCCAGAACCTACCTTACCTAACTGACCCTGCTACAACCATACCACCTATAGTCTGGATGACAGATTAAAAAAAAAAAAAAACAAAACAAAAAATCCAAAACAAAATGGTGGTTCCACTTCAAAGCAAGCTGTTCAGGAAGCAGCAGTGTTGTTTCTTTTCTGTCATATGTGGTAAATTGTGCATTTCTAGCAAGCTCGACGTTTTCACTCTTTGAACTAAATACAGAAGGGTGGCAAGCTTTTGACCTTAAAGCAGTTTTTCCTCTTATATTTAAAAAGAAAAAAAAGAAAAAAAAAAAGCATCACCTCAGTCAAATTCTCTGGTAAGTCTCACAGCTGAAGAGATTCAGTTAGTTGTTGCCAAAAGGAAAAGTCGTCCCTTCTTTGATAACACACATTCACCTGTGCTTAAGGTCTCTACCTTTTCTGCTCCATCCTCTCCCCTTCCATATAGTTTTTCTCGTGTCTTGTCTAATTTATGACACTAGGACACAAACAGCGACATCTTCGGCTCTAGAGAGCTTAGGTATCAACACACCCACAAACGAGCACGAACGGCTATTTTCAGAAGCTCAGCAAAATCATACAGTTACAAGTCAGACTAAAAGACAAAGGGAACCAATTCTGTACTTCAGTTTTGCTCAAGCTCTTGTTAGATACTGAAAACCCAGAGAAATTTAAACTGCAATTAACAGTTTGCATGGCTAGGCTACTGAGCATAAAACAAAAATGATTCTTTACATTCAAATAAAAAGCATTTCAGCAATCACAGTGGCATACTCCACAGCACATCCAGTTTTACTTTGCATAAATATTAACGCTAGTCTCTGCAATGAGGTGATAAACATCTCACATCACTGACTGTATTTTTTCCTGACCTAGCAGAATTATCCAATTTGTAATGACTAGGTTTTTTTTAATATTTACATTACATTATTTGCGGCTTGTGCTCTTCACATATAATTGTGCTGGGATAAAAACAAAATTTTCAACCAACAAAGCTATTTCCAAAATTATTGTCTTCAGAATTTGAGAACAGTTACCATTTCATTTGGAAAGTAAGGTAATGCAACACTGCATTCCTCTTCACTTCACCAAAATGAAACAAATATCCCTTCATTACATCTCCAACACCTGAATCTGTACTTCAGCATAACTTTCAACACTTTATTTGCCATTATTCCCTTGACAGAAGGCAAGGTGCGTGGCATTCTGCAAAGCCATTGAAGGCCATTCTAATTTAAGAAACGCAATTAAAATCTTCACACTCGGACCATATTTATCTCATTTTTATAGCTATACTGGCCCATAATTACTTCAGTGGAATTACATTTCCACTTACTTCAGAATTTAAAATTATTTCAATAAAGTTAAATATAAATTTAGAAGAAAAAGGATGTTTTATGCATCTTTATACATCTTCTCATTATCCAAGATTATTTCTCTTTGTTTTGCCTCCTCAGGCAAACAGCACTAAACTGAAATATTTTAGTCTACAGGCTTTCAAAGGACAAGTTAACATGCTCCCAACAGACAAAAAGATGGGAATATTAATACTTAAATCTATCATTTATTTGAAAACACACAATCTTTTTTTTTTCCCCTCTAATCTCCTTAATCAAAAAGCATAAGTAAGTCTAATACAAGGTAAAGGTTGACCATAAGCAAGATAGGTGCAATTTCAAAACTAGGCAGTTTCTTACATGCTTATAGTTGCCTTCCACTGGCCTATTTTAGAGTTCTTCTCTCCTGATAACTTCATTCTGGAGTATTTTTTCTTTCTTTTTTAAATAATGTAATTTTAGTAGTACTGAAAGATGCCATATTCAGAGTGCCACAGAATAAACATCCCTGTTTACCTAAAGAACAGATAAAACTAGGAAGTAACATACCAGTTGAGCTCCTAAAAATCCACAAACTCTACTACTGAAAAGATATCCATACCCTTTAGCTTCTTCCGGCTTCAAGAATTTCTAAGTTATTGCTAACCACGTATAATAAAACTGTGTGTGTCCACTGCAGCCTACAACGAGACCAATCTGGATGCAATTAATTACTTGAACGATATCAATAGGTTTGGCTTAAAAAAAAAAAAAAATTCAGAAGCAACTTGACCATGGAATGCCTTCACAGATAGTTGGGAGTAGTACTGAAGGCAAATGACTAATACTGTATGCAGAATTTGTTTTGGAGAAAAAAAAGAAACTGCCCTTGTTGAACGTTAAAAAGAACAGACAGTAAGTAGAATTATATTATTCATGCATTCAGAATGCTAGCCCATCGTCTCTACCAGCCACACAAATTTTAGATAAAAAGGCTGATCAGTCCCCTGAGTAAACAAACTCTTAACAGAAAGTCCTGACTGGCTTTACAGGTAGAAATGGAATCGGTTATTTAAAGTTCCATTCGCCATAATCTGTAACCAAGATACCAACTCATCACAGTCAGCTCTGCAAAAGGGTTTAAATTAACTAATGTAGACTGCTGATTTGTCACTGGATTACACCTCAAGGATTTGTGTTCTATAGGCTTTAAGTCAAATATAGTAATAGGATACTTGTAGAATCCAT